TGGGTTTTAAAACTTCCCCCAAATACTGTGTGCAGCAGCCAGGGCTATGGGTGAGGAGATGCTACTTCTCCTAATCCCACTGCCGGCCCTCTCCAGCCGCCTCCGTGCCGGGGAGCCTCGACTCCCGGGGCAAGGGAGCGGGATGGGGCCGGGAGGAGACTTCTCCATGGCCCCGTGGGTGAATTCTCTCTGGTCAAAGCATCCAGCTCTGCTTTCACAGAGCGCTGGTGCGTTCAGTGTTCCCGCAGTCCCTCTGTGCCTGGGCAGGGGGTTACAGGGCTTATATTTTCAACTGGAATATTTTTTTGAGGGGAGGCTGTTTGGAGAATCAGCAGGGGAGGGGAGCGGCGCTCAGCCCTGCGGTGTCCTGAGCGGGACAGGGCTGCCCGGGGGCAGCAGCCCCGGCGCTTGGGGACAACGCGGCCACCCTTGCCCCTTCCTCTCCTCACGAGGGGGGGGGTCGCGGCCGCCTCCTCTGTCCCCTCTCTCTCTCTCTGTCCCCTCTCTCTCTGTCCCCTCTCTCTCTGTCCCCTCTCTCTCTGTCCCCTCTCTCTCTGTCCCCTCTCTCTCTGTCCCCTCTCTCTCTGTCCCCTCTCTCTCTGTCCCCTCTCTCTCTGTCCCCTCTCTCTCTGTCCCCTCTCTCTCTGTCCCCTCTCTCTCTGTCCCCTCTCTCTCTGTCCCCTCTCTCTCTGTCCCCTCTCTCTCTGTCCCCTCTCTCTCTGTCCCCTCTCTCTCTGTCCCCTCTCTCTCCGTCCCCTCTCTCTCCCCTCTCTCTCCCCTCTCTCTCCCTTCTCTCTCCCCTCTCTCTCCCCTCTCTCTCCCCTCTCTCTCCCCTCTCTCTGTCCCCTCTCTCTCCCCTCTCTCTCCCCTCTCTCTCCCCTCTCTCTCCCCTCTCTCTCCCCTCTCTCCCCCCTCTCTCTCCCCTCTCTCTCCCCTCTCTCTCCCCTCTCTCTCCCCTCTCTCTCCCCTCTCTCTCCCCTCTCTCTCCTCTCTCTCTCCCCCCTCTCTCCCCTTTCCCCCCTCTTTCTCCCCCCGCTCCCTCTCTCCACCCCTCTCTCTCCCCCTCTCTCTCCCCCCTCTCTCTCCCCCCCCCTCTCTCCCCCCCCTCTCTCTCTCCCTCTCTCGCTCCCCTCTCTCCCTCCCGCTCCCCCGACCCCGCTCGGCGCTGCCGGTCCCGCGGTGGGCGCCAGGGGGCGCTGCGGGCGTAGAGCGGGGGCTCCGCCGGGCCGGGGGCTCCGGGAGCTCCGGGGGCTCCGCGCTCCTGGAGCTCCGCGCTCCGGCTCCTCTGCGGCCGCGACCCCCCCGCAGCCCCTCCGCGCCCGCAATCCCATGGGTTCGGTCTCTCGGGCCGGGAGAATTGAAGGTTGCGCTCCCGCAGTGATGCGCGGGGCTGGGAAGGGGGGGGGTTTGTCCATGTGTTGATTTGGGGGGTCCCGAGGATGTTTGGGGTGCGGGGGCAGAGGGACGGTTCTATCTGCGGGATTTGCGCTGCATGCTAGGAACTGCGCGTTGTGCGCAGGGTTAAAAAAATAATAATTCTCCTCTCCGGAGGTGGCCGGGGGGTGTTGAAGGGGTGCGGAGCGGCCCCGGCTCGTTCCTGTGGGGTAGAGGAGGGGAGGAGAAAAACACATGCACAAAAAAGGGGGAAAAAAGGAAAACCCGCCCGCACCACCCAGCGGCCCCGCGCGGGGATAACAAACTCCAACTTAAAAAAACTTCCCGAGCGCGTCGGGGGGCGCGGAGGAGGCGGCGCTGCCCAGGTGCGGGTCGGGGCAGGGCCGGGGGGTCCCGGCTGCTCCCCCCGCCGCGGGGCTCGGGGAGGGGACCCGAGCTCCGACCCTTCCCCACCGCTCCCTTCCCCACCTGGGACTCGCTTTGCGCGGCACAGCCAGACCCGAGGGGGGCTTTTGTTGCATCCTGGCAGCCGGAGGGGGCTGCGGGTGTGTGTGTGTGTGTGTGTGTGGGGAGAGGGTGAATCTGGATGGTGTGGGGAGGAGACAAAGGGGTTTTTCCGAGGCCGGGGGGGAGTCGGAGTTTCGGTAAAGGCTCCCCGGTGCAGAGGGGAAACAGTGGCTCGGGAGAGGGGCTTCAGCGGGCTGCGGGGTGAAGGAAAGCAAGGGCACAACAACTTTATAATCGACTTTTTATTAAGGTTATAAATTTAAACAAATCTGAACAGTTTTACCCGGTGATATACAATTCCATATGCACAAAAATACAGGCTTACAAACAAAGAAAAAGGAGCAGAAAAAAAAGAAGACCCCAACAGACCGTTTGGCAAAGCATCCTCAGTTACACACAGTGCTGATACCGTGAAGCTGGGAGTGGGCAAAAGAAAGAGGAGGGGACGACAACCAGAAAACCCACCTTTTTACAACAAAAGGTTTTTCTTTAAAAAAATAATGTAAAAAAAATCAAGAGACTCTACAGGAGACAATCTCTTCACAAGACCAAACACTGCTGGTTTTATGATTGGGAAGGCTGAAACCAGAACAGTTAAACTTAAGTAAAAAAAAAGAGAGAGGAGAAAAGAAAAAAAAAAAAAAAAGGGGTCAGACCCGACACACACATCGGAGACGTGAGTCGTGTTACACGGGTACCTGCGGCATCACAAGCACACACCGAGGCGGAGGCTCGGGGCTGCCGGGGGTGGCTCGCCCCCTCCCCGGCGTGGCGAGGCGCAGCCCGGAGGGACCCCCGGCTCCTGCTTTTCCCCTTCCCACATTCAGCTCTCAGAACCCTCCAGCGCTCCCCTGGCACAAGCGGTGGGAAGAAGTCACAGCGCACACGTTTCTTCTGGGAGGAAAGTTGAAGTGTTTTCATTTCTGCCTTTTTTTGTTCTTTTAAATATATAAAGAAACGCACAAAAGCGACGGGGCAGCAGCGGCTTTCCCCTGTCCGCACCCTGAAACACAGCGAGCCGGGGGCGGTGGGAGCCGCGGGCGGCCCGGGGCGGGGAGCGGGGCCGGGGCGCTCCCGCCGCGGGGTCCCGGGGCCGGTACCGGCTCTCACGTGGCGCTACCGGCCGCCAGCACCGGCCCCGGGAAACCCGCCGCGAAGAGAGCCCGAGCGGACACAAAGAGGATTATTTAAATAGGTGCCTCGTTTTTTTTGTTGTTGATGTTTGTTTTCGTTTGTTTGCTTGTTTTTGTTTTTTTTTCCCCTCTTATCTCTGCAAAAATAAAGTCCCAAGATCTTAGATTTTTTTTTTCTTTATTGTACAATTTATAAAACACTAGCGCGGCTCAGCCCCCCCCGCCTCCCCTGCGCACCCCTCGGCACCCCCCTCCCCTCGCCCCAACCCCCCTCCCTGCCTTTGTTTCAGGGTCCCCCCTCCGGAGCCGCCGTCCCTCGGACCGCACCCCCGTTTTGTCAACAGCCCCCCCACACCCCGTCTGCTCCCCCACTTCTCTCTAAAACGCGACGATGGCCCGAGTCCAGGCTCCCAGGCTCGCCAGCGCCTGCTTGCTGCACAGCTGCCCGTTGAGGGGCTGCTCCGAGTCCGCCTGCTGCCGGCTCACCAGCCCCGTGAAACCGGAGCCGAAGATGGAGATCAAGTTGGAGATGTTGGAAGAGTCCTGGGGGTGCTCGGCGCTGTACTCCTCGAAGCGGGCGCGTTTGGTGCACGGGGCGAAGGGGGGGCCGCCCGCCACCCCGCCTCCCCCCGGCTCCCCTTCCTCCACCCCCTCCTCTTCCTCCTCCTGCCCCGGGTAATACTTGCGCTTGGTGCCGGGCGCGGGCGGCGGGGAGGAGAGCCCCGGTGCCGGCTGGCAGCAGCAGGGGCACTGCGAGCAGCAGTCCTGGTGCAAGTACCCGTTCTCCACCGTGGTCACGACGTGAGTGTCCAAATCCAGCACCGTGGTGCGGCTGCTACAGTGCGGGGCCCCGCCGCTCCCGAAGTCACAGCCGGCGGCGTAGAGCAGCCCCGGGGCCGCGCCGCCTCCGCCACCGGGACCGGCGCTGCCGGCGGCCCGGTAGAAGCCCGGGGACGAGTCTCTGCAGGGCGCTCGCTGCATCTCCGGGGGCACCGCGCACAGCGGCACCTCCAGCAGCTCCGCGCCGCCCCGCGCAGCCCCGCAGCTCCGCGCCTCGCGGTCCTGCGTGTCGGCGGGCAGCGGGAGCGCCGCCAGCTCCGGCGGGGCGGCGGCGGCGGGCGGCGGGCAGGCGGGCATGGCGAGGAGCGGGGCGCCGTCGGGGTAGTGCTGCTGGCGGCGATAGAGCTCGGCGTAGCGCTCGCTCAGGTAGAGCTGCCGGGCGTTGCGGAGCACATAGGAGACGAGCAGGTTCTTGTGGAGCTTGATGCCGCCTCGCTGCGTGCGGGAGCTGTGGATCTTCCGCAGGGAAATACTGATCAAACTCTGCGCATCGAGGGTGCACTCCATCCTCCTCCGGCCCCTCAGCATCGGCTCTCGCCGCCCGCGCAGCCAGGCACCCCGGCCCGCATCCACACGGCAGCCGGGCGGGTGCGGAGGGTCGTAAGGAAGGAGGATAAAGAGGCGGGGGGGAAGGGAATAAAGGGGAGGGGGGGAAGGGGAAAAGGGGGCAAAGAGCCTGAGGTCGCTGGAGAAGGGGGGCAAATAGAGAGGGGTGTCTTCAGCGGGCGGCCAGCGGCGGGAGCAGCGCGGGCATCGCCGGGGGCTCCCGCTGCTGCCGCCGCCGCCGCGCTCCGAGCACGGACGGCGCGGGCGGGCAGCGCCACCAGCGCCGCGCGCGCCCCCGCCCCGCCCTCCGCGCGGCCCCGCCCCCGCCCGCCCCTCCGCGCGCGCCCGCCCGCCCCGCCCACCGCGCGCGGCACCGGCACCCACTCCCCACACCCCCCGCGCCCGGCCCGTACCTGTCGCGCACAGACACTGAACGCCCGCCCGCCCGGCCCCCGCCTTTTATACCGCTGCGCCGGCCCGCCAGCCCCGCCTCCCGGGGCCGGCGCTACCAATGGAAAGGCGGAGAGCGACTTAACGGGCGGGCAGCGCGGCCAATGGGAGTGAGGCGGGCGCCTCGCGCCGTTCAAATGGTGCCAGGCGCGGCGCGGCCCGTGAGGGCGGCGGGGGCCCGGCCGGACCGGGCGGGGCACGCTGAGGGCACCGGGGGTCCCGCCCGAGCGGCGGCGGGGCCGGGGCGCCGCCTCCCCGCGCCGCTCCCCTCGCACAGGTGAGCGGGGGGCGGTGCCCGCCCCGGTGGGCTGCCCCGAGCTGCCGCGGGGGCGGGGGCGCGGCACGCCCCGCCCTGTGACACCCCTGAGGCTCCGCGTATCCTCGGCAGGACCCTCGGTGGTACCGGCACCGTGTGTGAATCCCATCCCGCGGCTGCGGTGGGATGCTCCGCTCGGCTGTGGGCTGCCCTAACGGCGGGGGTTGCCGGTTCAGGTGCTAGCCGCACCCCAGTGTTGCCGGATCCCCCCGCGGCGGGGCCGCCTCTGGCCGTGCCTGCGGAGCTCCCGCCGTCACCCCGCGTTTGGAGCGGGGTCACGGCTTTCCCCCGACCTGGGGGCAGGACCGCGCATCATTCTCTCCTCACAAAGTGCCCAAATCACACCTGGTTTTCCCCCAAAGTGAGAGCAAGACCGCGCTCAGGTTAATTAGGGGCTAATTAAGTCCTTCCGTCCCGCCCCGGGGCACTCGGCTGTGTTGGTGGAGCAGGGCAGCGCAGCCCCTGCTCTTCCTCACAGAAGGGTGTGAGGGGAGGGGTCTGGGTCGCTCCCTGTGGGGTTAGGGACTGCAGGGAATCAGGGGTGGGTTTAGGGGATGCAGAGACTCAGGGCTGTCCCCATGTTTGTTGCTTAAAAGCTCCAGTCAGCGAGTGACCCAGTCACCACGCCCGGGGAGCAGTAGCACCCACCGAAGCTGGTGACACCATAAAGCAGCAGCCCTTGTCCACCAGGTAAGAGCTGGGGGGCTCAAGGCAGGAGGCTGCAGTGTCTGGGTGGGAGAAGGGGCTTAGACATGGATAGCCAGGAAGGGACTACAGTGCTGGGGTAACGGGAGCTGCTTCTGAAATGGCATCTTCTGTAGAGAGCAGGAGGTAAGGGAGAGAGGAGGGAGGGTTTCCACTGACTGCAGAGGTTCTCCAGGCTGGCTGTCTGCTTTGGGGTCACCCTGGCATACAAACCTTAGCAGTGGCTATGGGCAGCCTCGTGTCTGTGAGTGGTGGGGTGCCCATTGGAAAGAAAACCTCTGAAGCCCTTGTTCCTGCTGTGCAGCACAAGCTCCAAACCACAGGAGCAGTGACACAAGGTGATCCCCGGGGTCATCAGCTCACTGTGCAAAACCTGGGATCCATGGGGAGCTTTGAGGGGGATGCTTGAGGGCTTTTCCTGTTGCCTGGTCTGGCTGTATTCTGCTGGCTCAGCTTGACCCTGTCCTCCACTGAAGGAAATGGGAGCAGAACCAGCACCACAGACGATTTTGTTCCTGTGGAAGGGTGGTTGGGGCAGCAACTGAGCTAGGGCAGCTCACTGCTCCCTGAGGAGCAGCTGGCTAAGTCCTGCATGTCATGGAGCAACCTTCTCCACAATCTGCCTTCAGCCAGGCAAACTGGGGTGAATGATACTCTGTGCTTTCCCAAGCTCTTGTAAGATGTTCTTGTTCCTGGTTCATAACATAAAAAGTGATCACAACCCTGTCCAAAGGGTGGCTGTGGCTCAAGGCAGTGGGTACAGGCAGTGTTGGAGATGGGGGGTTGTTCTATGTCTGTCCTCTCCTCCAGCAGGCTCTCTCCCTTGTAATTCTCCCTGGCTGCAAGTTGGCTTTTTCAGGGCTGTGGCTGCACAGCAGCTGGAGGTTCAGGAGGCGATAACTGGAGCTGGGCTGTGCAGATACTATGGGATGCAGCAGGATTAGATTTGGACACATTGTATAGGTCAGTGCTGAGCTTTGGATGTTTGGAGGCTTGAGCCAGGTCTTGCTGCTGCTCAGTGAGATCAAAGGCTCTGCCATCATGGGCTGTTGGAGTTGGTGCTTGTGGACTGAGCCGCAGCTGCAGCTCTGCAGCATTTTCTCTGTCCTCATGGGTACTGGGGAACCAGGGCAGCAAGCACTGCTGCTGCCAACCTGTGCCATATCCTCCACCCAGCCAGCGCAGGCAGTGATTTCTTCTCCAGCTCAGCTGGCATTTGCTGCTCTCTGGCTCATCTCCAGCTGTAAAACTCCAGTTTAGGTGGTCCAGGCTAAGAGTTTGTATTGCCCATTGGCCGACTATGATGGGGTGGCTTGGGCAGTGCAGATGGGGCCAGGCACAAAGCGTTGCCCTGGCAGACACCCTCTGCCCCGAGCTGCTGCTCACCTTCCCACCTACGACTTGAGCATGGCCTCAGGACACTGCCCAGTCTGGCCCTCTGCTTTTTAATCATCGAGTGGCCCAGCTGGCCTCGAGTTGCGCATTTCAGTGAAGGGTCAGGTTTTGCAGAGCTCTGCTTGCAGCAGTGCTGGGTTTATAGAGCTGCAGAGGGCTGTGCATCCTCGGGGCTGGTCGGGCACTGCGGGGCAGCCCTGGATGCAGGAGCTGCTGCTGTCTCTGGCTGTCAGAGAAGTGCCCTCTGCTGTAACTGCCTGAGAAGCTTCGTGGCACCAGGAAAACCTGAGAGCGCAGCAGGAGCCTCTAGGAGATGAAGATGGAATTAAAACTTTAATCTTATTTAAACTCTGGGTAATTAATATAAAGGCTGTAAAACGTGGGCCTGATCCTGGCACTGGCTGCTGGGCACCGTGCTGTGGCCGGCAGGGCAGCAGCAGCTGCAGGCTGGCTCTCCTCTCCAGCTGCCTCTCCTGGCAGGTACCAATGTTTTGTTTGCAGACACAGTGGCTTTAATCCTGGAGCTGGGACGGGCTGTGCACTGCAAGAGCCATGCTGCTTCAGTTTGGCCTGTGGACTCCAAAATCTCCCAGAGACAGGAATCTGGCTGATACCTGTCTTGGCACACAATTGCGAGCTCTGCTTTTCTAAAGAGGATAACGAGTCCTGTCCATTTTCTGGCTCTGAAGCAGCAAGGTGGGGCAGGATGGTTTTGGTGCCTGCCTTTCTCAGGAAAACCTGTGTGTCTTGTCCAGCATCCCTATTCCCTGGTTTTGGGGTTTAGGTGTCCTTTCCATGGGCAGGGCCCCTAAGGACTGTACTGCTGCAGTGGACAGTTCATGTAGAACCATCTTGGTTAAATGCAATTCCAGCTTTTACCTCGTCTTTATATGGTCAGGACCATTATTTCCCCAAAGGAGAAGAGAATGGGCCCAGAATTTGCTCTCTGAAGTGCTGAGCTACACATTTTCTGGTGTAGATGATGCTGGTGCTGGGGACTGCCTGAGCTGTGGGCACTGTGGGGCTGCTCCTGGGCTGGGGATGGTGCAGCTGTCCCACACCTGGTCCAGCCTTGCTGATGTGCTGGTGCCAGGGCTGCTTTTGCAGCCATCGATCCTGCAGCAGGATCCAGCAGCAAAACCTGGCGGTCCGCTGCTCTCAGCTGCAGAGTAAACAAGCTGGCAAGAGAAACCATTTTGCTTCAGCTAGTAGGAGAAACCCTTTTTAGGTAGCACTTCCAACTGGCAATGCTCTCCTTCATTAACCCCCTCCTTCCCTTTCCAATGAAACGTGAATTTGCAGCGATTGGAGATCAGGCACTTGCCAGTGCAGCTTTGCCACCCAGAGCAACGAACACAGACGTGAATTTACTGCTTGATCTCATAATTTCAGTGCAATTAGACTGGCTGCTATAAAGCAATTTCCCCTTGAGCCTCAGAGTCCTGGGCCTGGGCACTGCCCAGCTTTTCTCAGACATGGAAACGGAGGCCTTTGGGTATTGGCTGAAACACGAGTTTTTTTGGGTGCACCTGGAACTTGACTCCCTGGAGATGTGTCTATGAGCGGGAGCTGCAAGTGCCTGGCATGTCTGAAAAGGAGCCTGCTTTTCAGGCTTACTTATTACAAGTCAGGCACCCAAAGCAAGTGGGAAAACAAGCCAGAACAAGGTTTTCAGGCTGAGCTCTTGGAGCAGGGCTGGCTTCTGCCACCTTCTCCTCTGTGCTGGGTAAGCTTAATGTTGCCTGGCTCCCCAGGCTATTCCCCATCTTGAGGGGACTTATAGGGCAGACCCACAGGTTCTGCTGCAGTGTGTGGGGAATGGGGCATGTCAGCTCCCAAAGGCAGCAGCCCTTGGCGAGGCGTATCCATCTGTATTGATTGAGCAGGCTGTGGGTAGGGCTGTCACCTCGCTGTTGTAGCTGTTAGCTCTTTCTTTCAGCTTTGGTTTCACAGTCAAATACTTTGTATAAAATCCTGGAGAAAAAGGGATTGAAACCATACTTAAAAAGCATCCATTTAATTATCTGTTCTCCATGCTTTTAGGTGGGGAGCTGTATAATATCTCCCAAGTGTCACCGTGGCACTGGGCATGGATGACATGGTCAGTGTTTTGATTTGGTCTGCTCCTCCCTAAATTCACCAACTCATTTCTTTTGTTCCTGGGAACCACTGTGTAGGGTATGGGTGCTTCTGTAAGCTTCCCTGCCATTGCTTCATGGCCTTTTGCTACTGTGTGACCAAGCACCTGTGCCCCACATGCTTGGTCAAACTGTCCTAGTGCCTACTGGAGTGTTCAGAGGTCCCTTGAATGGGAATTGTATAATTCTTCTTTTGACTTATCCTGGAAGGGTGGAATTGAGGAGGTTATTGCTGCCAGGATCCTACTGCTGATCCTCTTCTGAATGGCCTCTACTGATCCTGCTGCAAGGGGAAAAACGCTGGCTCTGTTGGCCAGCTGGTGATGTGACCCAAAGCAGAAGGGGGTTTCTGTCGGTGCTGATGTATTTTAGCCCATTGATGGTTTGCTGTGCCCACAGGTCAAACTGCAGTAGCAGATCTGTTCCTCGCTAGAGCTGAGGAGGGGAATGAGCTGCTGATGGTGTAAGCAGAGCTGTGGGTACACATGGAGAGGCTGCAGTGTCCTGGTTGGTTTTGGTGTGATTTGTGTGGCTCATCTCATGCCCAGAGCTGCTTGTGTGATGCTCTCCAGGGGCAGCATTGAAAAGCTCCTGGCACAGGCACTTCCCCATGTCTCTAACAAACCTGTCCAGCTGTGCTGGTTGCTGTTGGTGCCTTGTCTCATTGTTTCTGGCATTTGAAGGCCATTGATCTCCTGCAAAACCATGGCAGGATGCTAAAGCTGCAAGATAATGGTGTGCAGCAAGCTTGGGAGCTGCTCCTTTGGGAAGAGGGGACAAAGTTGGGGTCTACTTCCTATGAGCGTTTCACACCTTGGACTGGGTGCTCCCCTGGGCTCTGCCAGCCAAGGAGCTCATGAAACCTCCCTGACAGACGTGGTGCTCATGGGGTAATGTGGTATCCCAGGATCTCCTCTGACACTGTGGGAGAGAAAGCAAATCTGTGCCAGGGGACTCCCTCAGGAGCTGCTGTGGGGTCTTGCTGCTGCTGCCCCAAAGCATCACTGCCAGGAGCCACGAGGTGCCCTGGGCAACCAGTGCTGTTTGCTGTGCTGTGGTATCTGATAGAGACCTTAATTTAATTGCTAGGTCAGATACCTGCAGTCTTTATTGCTGTGTAGCCAAGAGTTGATCCCTGGACTTGGTCTGACCCCGAGTTGCAGCTGTAAATGAGGCTGTACTGGAGCACAGTTCTTACCCAAACTGGGAAGTCTGTCTCCAACACCAGCATGAATGAGGGATCTTACCTGCAAATCCTGTTCCTGTCTGTCCGGGGTGGAGCAGGACAGGACTTGCTGGGGACTGAATTGGATTTGTAATCGTGCTCCCTGCTGGCGATGGGAGCAGCAGGCTCGGAGGAGGCTGGGCATCACCTGCTAAAGGGTTCTGGGAGGGGTGGAGACCGGGTACCTGTGATCTGGGGCTAATCCTGCCTGTTTCCCCTCCCATCTC